AAGGTACGTTTGGAGAAGAAGGGGCACAGAATTTAATGAAAAGAACCTCTGTCCAACTGTTAAGCATGGGGTTGGATCAATCATGCTTTGGGGTTGTGTTGCAGCCAGTGGCACAGGGAACTTCTCACGAGTAGAAGGAAAAATGGATTCAATAAAATTTCAGCAAATTTTGGATGGTAACTTGATGCCACCTGTGAAAAAGCTGAAGTTCAATAGAGAATGGCTTCTACAAATGGATAATGATCCTAAACACACCTCGAAATCCACGGGGGATTACATCAAGAGGCGTAAACTGAAGGTTTTGCCATGGTCTTCACAATCTCCTGACCTCAACATAATTGAAAATCTATGGATAGACCTTAAAAGAGCAGTGTGTGACAGACAGCCCAGAAATCTCAAAGAACTGGAAGACTTTTGTAAGGAAGAATTGGCAAAGATACCTCAAACAAGAATTGAAAGACTCTTGGCTGGCTACAAAAAGCGTTTACAAGCTGTGATACTTGCCAAAGGGGGCAGTACAAGATATTAACTCTGCAGGGTGCCCAAACTTTTGCAGATGCCATTTTTTTGTTTTCTGTTATTTTGAAAGTGTAAATGATGGAAATAAAATCTAACTTTTGTTGACATATTAGAAGAATGTCTAAGCTGTAATTTGATGCCTTTTGGAGATTTTTCCATCTTTCCTCGGCTTCTTTATGCACATTAATGCAAATTTTTAGCTGGGGTGCCCAAACTTTCGATCCCCACTGTATGTATATATATATATATATATATACACACACACACAGTGTGTATGTATATATATATATATATATATATATATATATATATATATATACATACACACATACACATAACATATGTTTCCATATTTTCTATGGAATATGAACCTTTTGTTCAAGGAAGTTTCTCATCAAGTAACATAGCAATCCTGTGTGTCATGAAAAGCCGACACACACATAAAGCTTATTGACACGACTCACTTTCAACCATCATTAAACTGGAAATCGTTATGTTTTATCTCAATCCAATTAATTGATTATATAATTACTCCAGTGCTCTGCTAATTATAAACTTGTAATTGCTTATGCCAAAATCAGGCAGCAGTTTGCTTCTTGTTACAGGATATGCTTGCCAAGAACAAATCCTATGATAATCTAAACCTTTGGAATTATTAATTAAGAAAGACCCAATTTGAGCGTTAACATTAAGTCTTCTAGTTAGTTACAGCAGATAAAGCTGAGATTGCCAGAAACTTGTATTATCCGTGCATGCTGCCACAAAGTCAGCCACAGGGCTTTTATGATGATAATGGTCCAACATCCAATGTTCTTTCACTTTCTATCTACTGTGCATGGACACAAGACTGTTCTTATCCTGACTAGTTCTTAGCCCTTTCTTTCCCTTTGAAAAATAATCTGCAGTGAATCACTTTACAGAGATTTTACAGGCAGTTAGGGGGCAAAATGTTGCCTTCTCACCTTCTGTATTAACACTGAAAAGGCCAACACACCACACCAAAACTGCCTGCATTACATTGCACTTAAGTGTATCGTGTTCAATGGTAGTACTGCTTGCTGAATGCTGCATGCTGTTTTATTTTTGCTGTGAAGTAAAGCCTTGAGTGGCTGCATTCCCTTGTTTGAAGTGGTTGTAAAGGCTGAAGGTTTTTTTTACCTTTATACATTTTATGCACGAAGGTAAAAAAACCTTTTGTGTGCTGCTTCCCCCACAGTCCCCCCAATACTCACCTGAGCCAGGTCCCAATCCCTCTCTTCATTGGCTAAAACAGCAGTGGCACCCATTGCTGTCAATCACAGCCAGCGAACCAATAAGGAGACAGCAGGGGGTCTTATGGACGCACGCAGTGGGGCTTTGGAGTGAGCACCCTCCATAGACCCATAGCAAGAGGCTTGCTGTTGGGGGCACTAATCAAGGAGGGAGGGCAGGAACGCCGGCGGGGGAACTGAGAAGAGGAGGACCGGGGCTGCTTTGTGCAAAACCACTGCACAAAGCATGTAAGTATAATCACAAAATCAGATATGCAGCGCTAAATCTATAGTCATCTGGTATGATATAACAGTAATGATGTGTATAATCAAGAGTTAATAGATGTTAGAAGTAAAAAAAACTGTTGTGCAAAGTCCAAGTTGTTACTAATAGTAACACATTACAAGGGTGACAATGGTGAACAGTCAATAAACTGAGTGTGACAAGTGATACTCAGTGATCCATAATTTCCGCTTGCTGGCGAAAAGGATCTGGTACAATAATGCACTTACCATAGATACATATAAAATGAGCATTATATGTATATCATATCCACGGTGACATCTGGGTCTGGTCAATGGTCAAGGAAACATCCGGCACTGGTGGTGAATACTCGGGGATGACAAGACTCACTCTCAGAGGACACCTCAGGCACACCGGTAGGTCTGACGTCATCCAGATTTCCAGTAGTACGCTTCAAACGCTCCACCTTAGAGGACTGCACAGGTCAGTCAATCTGGAAATACGCATTTCCAGATTGACTGACCTGTGCAGTCCTCTAAGGTGGAGCGTTTGAAGCGTACTACTGGAAATCTGGATGACGCCAGACCTACCGGTGTGCCTGAGGTGTCCCCTGAAAGTGAGTCTTGTCATCCCCGAGTATTCACCACCAGTGCCGGATGTTTCCTTGACCATTGACCAGACCCAGATGTCACCGTGGATATGATATACATATAATGCTCATTTTATATGTATCTCTGGTAAGTGCATTATTGTACCAGATCCTTTTCGCCAGCAAGCGGAAATTATGGATCACTGAGTATCACTTGTCACACTCAGTTTATTGACTGTTCACCATTGTCACTTGTAATGTGTTACTATTAGTAACAACTTGGACTTTGCACAACAGTTTTTTTTACTTCTAACATCTATTAACTCTTGATTATACACATCATTACTGTTATATCATACCAGATGACTTTAGATTTAGCGCTGCATATCTGATATTGTGACTTTTCTGAGGTGTAGAGGTTTGCCTTTTTTATGCTAGCTGCTATCCACTTACTTTGAAGTTGTGCTCACTTATTGATTTGACATAATGTAAGTATAATGTTTTTTTTTTTAAAGCTGAACCTTTACTACCACCTTAATTGGGCAATATAACTGCAACAAACCTGCCCTGCTTTTACCGCCCCCTGGCCACCTATGTAAACAAGCCCTTGTATTTCAAACACAAGAGGTTGATTCACTAAAGGGGTAGAGTCTTTTAACTCCATACACTAAATGTTCATTTTGCAAAGCAAATGGGCACTGCGATTAGTAGATAAGGTGACACCAAGTTACCTTCAAACACATGTTAACACACATTCTGTTTTTTCATGTCACATGACTAGGTATTCAAAGTGTGCAGAGGATCAACATTCACTGTGCTAAGTGAACAGACCCTTCTTTACTACTTCAAGCAGTACATGCCTTTTATATATACTGAACTAATGTATAAAAATGAGAAACAAAACAGCAGAGGTGTTGCTGACAAAAAAAAAAAGTTACAACCAAACTTTTTAACTTTTGCCAACAGTGTCTATTTGGTGCTCTACTAATATAAAATTTGCAGCACTAAGGACAGATCCAGTTATTCTCAAAAGGCAGGTTTAAACTGCTCTAATACCAGCTTGGCATTAGAGAAAACACTTTTCATAATACTTTCTTACTTGGCATCTCTTTTACTGATTTTGCACTACTTTGGGTTTGTTAGTGTTACATTCAAATGGCGGTTTATCCTCAGTAAAAAGATAGCTCGAGGCAGTACAAACTTGAGTGCCAGCCTTCTGCCTGTGAGTCACTTAGGAGAAGACCTCTAATGTCCTGTTCATTAGTCCATTACAATTTAGTATAATGCTGGATTGTTCAAGAAAATCACTTCCAAAGAGACTTTCATTTTCAAGGGTGAGCATCTGGTTTCTTCATTACAGTCACAGTGAGAACACTTGAGAAACTCCTTGCTGAGTGCATCAGCATGCCCAAAAACAAAAGTGAATGAGCAGATGTTTTGCAGGACATAAAAGAGAGAAGAGCGCCAGTATAGCCTGGAGCAACCCACCCTGGCAATCTTACACTATGGGCGTTCAGAAACATGAAGCTGTACTATGAATCAAAGGAAGAAACTTGAATTCATCATGTCATGGCTGGCAGAACATCTAGCCCACCATTGTGTATAGATGTAATTATTGAAGAAATGCTGAACTTTTCACAATGCGGGTGGCAAGCAAGTCTTTTGCCATCAGTTTTCACATCCTTAAGGCACCTCCTGCAATATTATAGCTGAAATGTTTTGACTTCACAAAGTTTACAAGTTTTATAACTATATTAAAACTACATCTATACATAACCAGCTGCCATGTTACTTCATGTAAAGTTTATGATAAGAAGATATTCTTGAGAGACACGCTTACATTTATGTTAGTATTAGGGTCTATAATGGGCCTTGAGCTTGTGTCAACAGACAAATAGAGCTGGCTTTCCATCTACATTAACCACTAGCCTACAGGGCACTTATACCCCTTCCTGCCCAGGCCAGTTTTCAGCTTTCAGCGCTGTAGCACTTTGAATGACAATTGTACGGTCATGCAACACTACCCATATGAATTTTTATAATTTTTTTTGAGACAGATGGAGCTTTCTTTTGGTGGTATTTAATCACCAAACCAAAAACAACCAAAAAATTAAAAAAAAACCCAATTTTTTTTTCTTAGTTTTTGTTATAAAATTTTGTAAATAAGTGATTTTTCTCCTTCACTAATGTGCGCTAATGAGGCTGCAGTGATGGGCACTGATAGGCTGCACTGATGGGCACTGATGAGGAGGCACTAGTAGGTGTCACTGATGGGCATTGACAGGCATCACTGATGGGCACTGAGAGGTAGCACTCATATATGGCACTGATGGGAGGCACTGATAGGCGGCACTGACTGGCACTGTTAGGTGGCACTGACTGACACAGTTAGGCGGCACTGATGGGCACAGATAGGTGGCACTGATTGGCAGCACTGACTGACATTGATAGGTGGCACTGACTGGCACTGATAGGTGACACTGAAAGGCAGCTCAGATGGGCACTGATATGTGGCATTGATGTGCACTGGTAGGCACTGATATGTGGCATTGATGTGGCACTGATGGGCACTGGCAGGTGGCATTGATGGGCACTGACAGGTGACACTTCTGGGGCCACACTGATCATCAGGACGCACTGATCATTGATTTGATGATCTGGTGCATGCTGTGTAGGAGCAGTGAGGGATAATAACTCATTCTATAGCTTATTTCTTTTTTGTTTTGTAACTTTATTTGAAGAGTCACAAAATGATACTTTATCCAAGTCTCTGTAAAGCATCACATTGCGGCATGCTACGGTGCTTCAGTTGTGATACAAAAGCTCTTTGACAAAGGCCCTAACAGTTGTTCATTTATCTGGGTATAACCCAGTCAAAACTCAAGATTACTATAAATGCATTAAGAAAAGATCCCACCAGCTCAGGACTTTTATAAATTCATCCAAGCATGTTTTGTTTGTTTTGTTCAAAGACCTTTCATGTGCATCTTACCCTTAGCCTTCGTTCACACTGATGCGGTGTGTAATTCACCACGTTTTCAGTGCGAATTCCGCACCGCATCACAATCGCATCCTGTTCACACGGACCAATGTGGGTGTGTATGTTAAGTTAATGACACCCCCACATCAGTCCGCAAAATGCGGTACGATGTGCAGAATCGGATTACATAGGTGTGAATACCTATGCAATCCGATTCTAGTGCAGACCAAAAAAGGGTCCTGCACCTTTTTGGTGTGGGTGCGGTGCAAATACAGCCATATAAAATGTATGGCTTTAATCGCACCGCATACAAATCACATGTGATTTGTACAGGAATGTGGTGCGGTTCCTGTGGGAATCACATGAGATTTTTGCAACCAATGTAGTGTGAACCTAGGCTGGAAGATTGGTATAAAGTAAGCTTGTCGCTATTTTTGTTTGGTTTGTTAAAATTCTGGTGGGGACATATTGGACACCTTTGGCTGCCGCTGTGCTGTGCTGTGCTGTGCTTCTGGTGTGTCCCTACACCCTTAAAGAGGAATGGGCTCCCTCCAGGCATACTTGCCCTAATTTATCCATTGCTGTATGTTCCAACATGGAGGAACCCATAGACTAGAGTTAGGGCCCTACTATACAGAGAGGCTTTGATGAGGCAGTATGGCTTCTACAACTGTGCAACTAAAGCCTCTGTTTTGAACACATATTGTTAAGACAGTGCAATTTGTTTTTTGCTGGCTAGCTGGAAGGTGTGCTTGGAAAAAAAAAATAGTTTTGTATATTCAATACTAAAATTAATATGTGGGTGCAATTCCCCACCATTCCCTTAGAAATTATTATTATACAGGATTTATATAGCGCCAACAGTTTGCTCAACGCTTTACAATATAATGGGAGATAATACAGCAACAGTACAGTTCAATACAAGAGGGATAGGAGCAGGGGTGGACTGATAACTCATGGGGCCCCCGGGCAATAGGGGATCATGGGGCCCCTGTGTCCTCGCCCACACTCAAACCACACCCAAAAAAGCCTATGTAAGGTATCAGGGGCATCTCATGGGACCCCTTACTGACTCCGGGCCCTCGGGCAGTGCCCGAGTTTCCAAATGGTCAGTCCGCCCCTGGATAAGAGGGCCCTGCTCCTTGGAGCTTACAATCTAGCAATAGTTACTGAAATCTCACCAACAAGTCCATTTTATCTACACGGTTATGTTTATTCCATACATAGTGTAAAGAAGGTACTTATATTACAGAAAAACATAGCAATCAGTCTTATGTCAGATTGCTGCAGATGATTGGCTGATTCGGGTTATCGTACTTCACATACATTACTGTGCTTTGTACTCTGTAACTGAGTAAGTCAAACCACTTTGTGAGATTTCATTTAAGATTATATATTATATCAGCTAATGTTTTTGTTTTCACGAGGGAATAACAATTATGCGCCTGCTTATTTAGTACAAAACAATTTGCATATCAGATAGCAATTAAAATGTCCTTATAACTCTTCTTGCCAGGGTTTTGTCTGTTGAAAGATTAATGTTTAACACATAGACCTGTACACATGAACAAAGCTTTTATATGAAATGCTCTAAGCCTTGGAAATCTAAGTGAGATTTTCCAACAGAATTGCTGTCTATATAATAAAAAAAAAAACAAGCATGTTATATGGAGTCTTAAATTACCTCTGTCTCCCGTCAACCTGCAGACAAAAGGCTGGGGCACCAAACAGGGGTACAGGAACATGAACTTGGCTTTCACACTGAAAATAGTAACTATCATTAACACACAAACCTTAACAAGAGTATTTTTTATAAAGTTCATCTGTCAACACCAATACAAATGAATCACTAATTAGTACTATAAAAAGCTAAATGTTGGCTAGTCCTTTGCTTAGAACGTTTTGCAAAAACAAATGTATATGATGTCATGTCGGGACTATTTTATGACAACTATAACAAAAAGTAACCAGAGAAAATGTGAAATTTTCACAGTAGCCAATCAGATTGAAGAAACTGAAAAAAAATTAACAAACGAGTGGGGGGGGCCATTAGCTTATAACAGCATGTTATATTTGTCTAAGTGCAATCTGATTGGTTATGAAAGGTAAGCTTGTGCTAGTTTTTTCTTGCAACATTCAAGTTCAAGTCAAATCCTTGGTGTTGCTTGACATGTGGAAAAGACGCATTTTCATGTGTATTTGTTTACTAATAACTAATGTATTTCTATCTTGCTTATCTGCTGTATGGTTATAGACTGGCAGATCTCATAGGAAAGTGTCAGATGCAATATATCCAAAGGAGCAGCTGAGCAAACAGACAAACATGTTATAGCATGCCACAAAATTACCATTTTTAACTATATGCTATCTTCTTGTGCTAGAATCTTGAATCTGTTTAGCGGGACATTTACCACGTATACTTTCCATAATAACAAAATTACTATTCCCCTTGTTTCTCACAATAGTAACAAATTTCTATTTTATTTTTTTTTTTTTTTAGCTAAACTTGCTCTGCACTTCTGGATTTCATGCCTAGGTGACAATTATACTGGCACCCCAGCCCCCCACTCCAACCTCAGACTCTTGGGATGCTCACATATTGCATCCCAGGAGGCTTTGGGCCATCTACAATACATTGTACATGTGCTGCAGTGCATCAACAAGGGGTCAGCAGCTAAAACCCAAAAAGACAGCCGATTTCTGAAAAGTAACAAAAGAAGATGGCAGCATGGGACCTGGCATGGAGCACGCTACAATAATGCTAGATTTGCTGGGCATGTGATTGAGGAGAACAACCCAGCCAATAAGGTAATTGAGAATTAAAAGAAAAAAAATAAAACAAAATTAAAAAAAAGAAATATATATATATATATATATATATATATATATATATATAAAGAGGGGTGAAGTTCCTCTTTAAGATTGCTGATGTCATTTGGGTAAATTAAACAATTTCAGTATTCCAGCTGACCTACGGTCCACAATTCATAATGCTTAAAGCTGACAGTGGAATGTTAAGATGAAAATGGGCAGCAGGGGAATGAAGGAGAACCAGAAGTGATAGTAAACATGCACCCTCTGTACTGCTGTTTATGGCCATGTGTCTCATTGTACTGAAATATGACCAAATGATAGAACATTATATATAGAGAAGCTTTACACATAAAGCAGGTAAGAATGCCATTACACTTTCCTCTATTTTTAAATAATATCCCAATGAATCCCAATAACAGTCACATAGACACAGCAAGCTAACAACATCTAATCATTGCAAGATATAAAGTACAATATAACCCTTTTTTTTTATTCTCCATTCACACCCCCTGCAATTTGGCGCATTTCACAAAGAGGAATCCCATTATTATCACTTGGATCAATTCGCATCTATGAAATGGGCTTCCATGTATCGAGCAGGGCCCTCCTATTCCTTCTGTACTGAAATGTATTGTAATTGTACTGTCTCCCTTATATTGTAAAACGCTGCGCAAACTGTTGGCGCTATATAAATCTTGTATAATAATAATAATAATATAAAAATAACTTGGCAAAAGGTAAAAGCATTTTTTTTGGTACAAAATTTACTGTGTTTTTGGCCTCATAGACTTCAATGGATGCACACAAAAGTGCAAATGCCCAATTGTAAACCTAGCCTTAAGAGATATAAGTGCTAAATGAGGCAACTTGCTCCAAGATTGTAAGTTCCATAAAATTATGTTACAAAGATTGCACTTATGAGCCAATTAATTTTAGATTATGTTTACCTTATGGTACTGCCCACACAATATGTACACATACCTATAAGCACAAATATATACATATACTGTAAACATGCACAGACACACATAATACTTCTGTACTTTATACATGATGTACCAGCCAAAGCATAATGGACCATTTGTGGTGCCACGTAAGGACCCAAAGATACCTGCTCGAATTTCATTAGCAGCTCCTGCAAGCTGAAGTTCATGCCAATCATTGTCAGATACATCCTTTTTGGACTACATCTTCCTGGTAAGCTTCCTGCAGCCAGTCTCCTAAGTCTTCGGTACAAAGCCTTTTTAGTCACAATGTCATACCCACAGACATGATGGCTCTATACTACAGGCCACAGTTTTCATGCCACGATAAAACTTTCTTTTCCATTCCACCAAGTACATCTTTTGGCTGATCGTGCACAGAAGCCAGTCCATGTTTGCTTTGTTAACCGGGATCCATGACTCTTAGCAGCGGCCTATGAATGCCACTCTTCTGCACACCTTGATAATGACCTGAAGACCTCCCAACTGTTGTCTGCAGGACCTGTGGCTTATGAATTGGTCCCAATTACACACAAGGAAACAAATATCCTGTTTTAAAGTGCGGGGTCCTTTTGGAGCACAAAGAATAAACATGGGACAATAAGAACCATCCAACAGGTAGCAATATCCAGTGCAAATAAAGAAAGTTCGAAATACTGAAAAAGTGGTCATAAAAAGTAGGTGGCTATTGACATCAGTTAACTTCATGTAAATAGAGTAGTGGACCTATGTTACCATAGTGATAACAATGCCAAGTGCAGCCTCTCATCCTGTCTGCAAAGATGCTGAGCTCCGGCCGGACTACACCGTTCTATTCTGTGCTCGCAAACTGTACAATTTCACGTGTGAGGCTGTTGCAGGCTGACTTTCCATTCTCAGTCCTGGCTGTACGAACACTAACCTTAACCATTGTGAGCTGTTGTTTATTTTCATTTTTTTTTTTTCATTCAACATTCTCCTATTTCAAACCCCCCTTAGCTAG